AAAAAAGCACCTTTGAGACAAACATGACCTGGATGACTGAGAATTTCCAGAGGCACCTCTGAGCTTTAGTAACTTCTCAGAAAACCAAACTTTGGGGGACTTTAATTCTGTTGTCTTGGATTGTTGCCACCACCACCCCGTCCCCATAGGCGGCTTACAGAACATGGATAAATAGGATAGTTATTCTATTCCCCGAGGATGCAGGTTTTTTGAGAGGGCAGGGGAGAACCACACAAGGAGTGGTGGAGGAAGAACGAGATGCCCACACAGGCAGAGAGATCAGTCGCATCAGCCCAGCTAATCGATGGGGCGGCAGATGCTGCAGCCAGATCACACACACACACCTATCCACTGGGTAAGCGCCCCATGCCTTATTGCTATGTGCAAAGCCAATCTAAAGAAGGTTAAAAAAAAATCCCAAGGCTGGGAGGGATTTGCAGATTTACATCTGTTTTTCTACCTGTGTCACCTGGACCACCAAGGCTAGATCAGCTAAGGAAAAATTGGCACTCATTCTAGCAAGCATGGGTTGTTGTTTTTTCCTTTTGTTCTCATAGCCTGGTCCTTGTTATAGAAATGTATTTTTTAAGTGTGGGGAGGCAGCAAGGGTGCTTCAATCATCACAATATAGAGTAAACTTTTAACATTTAAGTTTAAACCTCTGAGTTTTCGCTCATCCCTGGGTTACTGAATTAAGAAAGCTATTTCAATTCTTCTTCCCCCAACAGCCTTGAGCTGCACAAAAAGCAAATGAAATGTAGTCTGTTCTGTTGAATTTGGGAAGGTGGGGAGGAGGAGAGAGGAGGAGGAGGAGGAGAGGAGGAAGAGGAAGAGTGGGAGGGAGGGAGGGAGAGAGGATAATGGTGATACTGGTTAAGTCCTTTTTTATAAGAACATGCCACATTTTTTCACATGGGGTGAAAAGAACAACTTTTCAAAAGAATCCAATACTCGAGAAATCAACCTAAAACATTTCACTGTCCTAATTTAGGAGAACAAGTTAAATAGGGAAATTGTCTTTGATCCTCAAAGGATTTCACTGGAACATCCGAGAGAGGTCAAACAGGGAAGTGCCAATGAGACCACATGATAAGCTGAACAGACACGACAAAGAACCAGTATAACTGTTCAACGGGAACCACTAGATAAACGGCCAGGATTGGAAAGCACCTGAGAACCTGGAGTCAGAAATCGTTCAAGGAAGAAAGGCATGGGGAAAATATATTCAATATATAACCCTTCTGCCTCCTTTGGCCTGTGCCTACATTTAACGTGCTGGTTTATCAACCCTTAGTCTACAAGCACTAGAGTTTGGGGTTGCCTACCCAATTGCTTTTGGGTATAATCAGGGCATTGAAGCAGAGAAAAATTTGGGAAAGGCAACTGTGAAGTTATAAAACCAAGAGGCGAGAATCTACCCAAAGCATTTTGTTTTATAATTCCCAAAAACAGGAATTATTTAGGCTGAAAAACAGCTTCTATCCCAGGGCAGAAGCTCTTTTGAATTCTACTGTATAGTGCAACATTAATGCAATATTGGGGGTTTTCAATTCAATGTGTGGAGGGTGAAGGATGTGTGTTTGTGTTTATTTTCATGGTCATGACGTGCACTGAAGATGGGGTTTGATTTCATTGTACAAGGTGCAGTGACAATAAAGTAAACTAAACTAAACTAAAAGCAACATTTACCTCCCCGTTTTAGTCTCTGCTATCCTCCCGTCCATCTTTTTTTTGGTTATCCTATTGATGTAATCTCGTCGCGTTCTTTTTCATTGTTTATTTTATTGTTCTACTAGCTTCCGTTTATGCTCTTTTCATTGAGTCATTGGGTCATTGAGTCATTGAGTCATTGAGGCCACTTGGAGATTTATCTGTGTCCTGAGGGTCACTGCAAATGGGTGTGGATCCTTAATGGGACTGCTGCAGATGAACCTCCGAGAGGCCTCAACGACTCCCTAAAAGGATGCAAATGACCAGCTGTCTGCAAGGAGTATCGATCCTTCCGTTCCCCACCATCCAAGTCAGAACTGAAGAAGCTCCTTAGATGAGAAGCGAAACATCTTCAAAGAAAAACAAGAAAAAAAGTCCAGTTGCCTCTTGGGGGCCGGGGGGGGGAAGCACCTTTGAGATTTTCAGAGTTGTTATCTTTTAGGATAAAATGGCGAACGCACGGCAGAGGTTAGAATCTAATTGTGGGTTCTGTGTGATCGATCATCCAGGATGTTGGCCCCTCTGCGGGAGCAGCGTGCACTGTCCTTCACACTCGCTTGGTTCACAATGTGGAGCTAACACTTGACTGCTCAGGACTGTACAAGCTGCTCACCTCTGAACGCACGATGTCCCTCCTGAAAAACACGGGGAGGCAGCCCGCTCACACGCATGACTCACTCACAGATCGATGGCATAGTCCTGCACCGGGAGAACGTATAGTTCTCTCTCTTTCTCTTTCTTTCTCTCTCTCTCTCTCTCTCTCTCCTACACACACAAACACACTTTAGAAGCACACACAGCCCCGCAGACACGAGTGAAGAGAATAAGCTAGGCCTCTCTCTACAACTTCACACCTAACTTTCCAAGTCAAGTTCGGCATGGATTCCTAAACAGCAACGCCAATTTAGTGGTCCCTGGGATCTAAAATTATGAGTTTGGTTGTCCCTGAGGTCCAAAAGGTTGGCGACCCCTGATCTAGTCCAGTGGTCACCAATTAGTGAGCTGGGCACCACTGGTGGCCTGCAAGAATATGTTGGTGGTCCACAGAGAAATGTCACCCCCAATTAATCCAGGCTGTGTGGGAACACAAGACTGCACTGCCCACAGGGACTGCAGGAACACAAGGCTTGTGTTGCTTGCTTTGCGAACACCACGAGGTAGTGGGGGGAGGGGGGAAGGGGGAAGGGGGGGACTTGTCCCACTCGCCCCACGCGCCTGGCCTGGCCACCGGGCTGCCTCTCCCCACTTCTTCTTTCTTCTGCTTTTGGCTGAACGCAAGGAAAGCAACAAAAGTCTTTCTTTCTCTCCCCCAAACTCCACCAGAAATGAGTCTTTGGGACCCTGCAAGGCCTCCTGCTCCAAGAGGCTGCGCCGGCAAAGACTCATTCCTGGGGGACAGAAAGAAAGACTTCTGCTGCTTCTGCTGCTTTCCTTGCATGAAGCCAAAAGTCTCTCTCTCTCCTCCTGAGAACGGAGCTGGGGACAGTATCCTGCAATCCCGAATAAAGAACGATCGATCGGTAGAAAAACAGGGTGGGGAATTTTCCTGCAGACTTTTGGGGGGATTTTCCCAGGGTCTTTGGTCCACGGGGTTTGAAATTATGAGTTTGGTGGCCCTGAGGTCCAAAAGGTTGGCGACCCCTGATCTAGTCCAACCCCAGAACCCAAGCAGGAGACCCTACACCATTTCCGACCGATGGCAGTCCAGCCTCTTCTTGAAAGCTTCTTGAATTCACATGTTACACCAAGCCAGGGTTGGTATGTAATTTGTTTATTAAATAATGCCCAGTTGGTTGCAGAACAGACCACAGATTGCCTAAAAAATGCATCCTAGTTTGTTGCATCTACATAGCTCAATTTACACCTGAACCAACGTACGTCAACCGAGGTTCTATCCCGCAAGGGGTAAAGGAGTTGTGAGAACTAACTCGGCCACTGAATTCAGGGATTTGGGGCTTGTCACAAACAAGGTTTTGCCCTCTGCAGACTGACAAGCAGGCTCCAGTAGCAGAGAGTTGCCCCTGCCACCATCACAAACCTGTTTGCATTTCAGCTGGTTTCTGAGCAAAGTTAACACAAGGAGGCCTCTGGAATTTGATCTTGATGGTCTCAACCCGGTTTGCAAATGTCACAAGCTGCAGACCTGGTTTACAGGCCGGGGTAAACATCATCCTTGCAAACTGGGCAGCTCTTCAACCATCTCCGCCCACAATGCCTTTTTTCACACCATGCTAGTTTGGCTTGGTCCTGGCTTGCCCGTCTGCCTTCAGGGGTAAGAAAACGCAAGAAGGGAAGAAAAAAAAATCTTTAGAGAAACAAAGACATCTACAAATCTGCCTTTCGACACGTTGCATTCGGTTGTTGCAAGGGCTGGAGCTCTTCCAGGTCCTTTGATAAATAAATAAATATATTCTGAGCATAAACAAACTGAAAAGACTGGAGGGAGGGGAAGAGTGCAGTTAACACAATAGTTTAATGCAATTAAATAATGCAATGAAGAAACCCAAATTGCAAACGAGGGAAGGTCCAAAAGAGAGAGCAAAAGGAATGTCTTTATTCATTAAGGCTGAAGAAGAGGGGGGGGGCTTTTAAACCTTTTTCTTTGGGCACTGTCCAAAACGCACCCCTCGCTCACACATACACACACACACACAATTATTTTCACAAATTGTCTTGTGCACAAACACACACACAAAACCACCCATTTCCTAACTTAGGCTGCTTCCTAAGGTATCTTAGCATTAAAACTCCACTAGAGGGCAGCACCTCTCCTGAAAGCGCGGTCCCTCTCGAAAAGATGCACCGCAACCAAGGGCAGACATCTCCTGGTGGTCTCCTTCCCGGGACCCCAATACACCCTTTGCCCGGCTTTGAGCACCAGCTTGGGCCCCTGTCTGCGGCCAGTGCGGGGGAGGAAGAGGAGGGGGGGCTTGACCTCCTCGGTGGAGAGGGAGGACGAGAAGAAAGGGCGAAAAAAAAAGAGGAGGGGAAGGGAAAAAAAACCGGCGGAGTCTAATATTCCTCCTCAGGGAGGCCAGGCGGCCCGGCTCTTCCCTCTGGGGGGGACGACCCTCCCTCCGCGAGCGGCCTCGCCCGGCTCCGCCCACCCCGCCTCGCCTCGCCTCGCCTCACCTCAGGGGTGGGCGGGGTCGCGCGCGCGGAGGGAACCGCCCGCCCCCTGCCTCCCCTCCCTCCGCTGAGGTGGCCGGTTCCGCAAGTTTGACAGTTGGCGCGGAGGGCGCCGTCGGGGAAGGAGGGTCTCTACGTCGCTGCGCGATTCGCCTCTCTCTCTCCCTCTCTCTCTCTCTTCCCCCCTCACGCCGCCGAGGGAGCCGAGCCGTCGCCTCACACGTCCGTCCCGAGGGGATCCCAAGCCGCCCGTCTGCCCGCCCGGGGCCACCTAGCCCGCCGGCTTCGCCTCCTTTAACCGCCGCCGTCATGTCTCGGGGTCCCGAAGAGGTCAACAAACTGACTGAAAGCACCTATAAGGTGAGGGGGGAGGCGGAAGGGAACGGAGGGGGGACCCCAGCCCCCTCCCCAAAGCTGGGCTTGTTCCCCCCCCCCCACACCTTGAGGCGAAACAGGGACCCCCGAATGCAACCAGGCGAGAGTTTTCCCCTCCCAGCCTGACTCAGTGCAAACTTAATTTTTTGCTCTTTTATGTGCTGGGAAGTTGCAAAGCAAAACTTTCTGTCCTTGGCTGCTTTCGTGGGAGTTTCGACTTTTTTTTTAAAAAAAAAAAAGTCATTTCTTGCATTGCTCCTTTAAAAAAAAAATAATAATAAAAAGGAAAAATCTGTCCCTGGCTGCTTTCGTGGGATTTAAAAACAAAAAAACAGATCACTTCTTGGATTGCTCCTTTTTTTAAAAAAAAAAAATCATATCCGGGGGTTGCTGTCCTTTCCTATTTTTGGAAAAAGTCTTTTCTTGCGGTGCTACTTACAAAAAAAAAAAAATCTGTCTGTAACTGCTTTCATGTGATTTGTTTTTTTCCTTTATAAAAAAGGGCATGTGTTGAATTGCTACTTTAAAATAAACATTTCCCAGGCTGTTTTCCTGATATATATTTTTTTTTCTCCCCACTTTTGTGGCCTTTTTCAAAGTCCTTACTTGCTTCGCTCCTTTTTAAAGCAGTTAAGAGATAGACTTTTTTTTTTTTAAGGGAGCAGTTCCAAAAACGATTTAAATAGAAGAAGTCACAGGAAAGCACATTTTTAATGTGTCTTTTCTTTTTTTTTTAAAGCCAGTGGCTATTTATGTTTAGCTGTTCTTGCTTTATTGCTCTTTGTTGGCTATTTGGTGGTGGGATGAGGGAAGACTGCTTTTTATTGTTTAATGTTGTTGGGGGTTATGCAATGATATTTTCTTTTAATTTCCTGCTGTCATTTTGGATCTGCTGATCTTGTTTCTTATGGATTGCTTATTGGTTTTCTAAGGAGGACTATATTTTTATAGCTACTTCGAGATTGTGCTGGTAAAAATAGATGTGCTATAGGGTGTGTGTGTGTGTGTGTGTGTTTATTTTGTGAGTTCCCTTTCCCCTTTCTCACAATATTTAGAAACTGAGTACAAAGCTAGACAACTTTCCCAATTAAATGCAGATTGGACTACAGTTCCCGTTGGCTTTTAGCTGGAGGAGATGGGAGTTGTAGTTCCCTAGAAGGACACACCATTGACTGAGGATGACAGGAATTTGGGAGTTGTAGCCTGACACACCTGAGCTGATTTACAGTTGAAAGGAATTATCAGCAAGCCAGTCAGGAAAATCACCAACTGGGAGTGGGATCCAGATTTATTCAGTGAACTAAGCTAGCCCAAGAGATCTAAATCGTTTCTTCTTCATCACTTGAGACTTTCAAGAAGAGATTGAACTGCCATTTGTCAGAAATGATGTAGGGTCTCCCACTTGGGCAGGGGTTGGACTAGATGACCTATAAGGTCCCTTCCAACTCTGATTATCTGTTAACTTATCTGTTCATAGCAAGTATGCAAAGATTGGAAGGGATCAGGGGAAGATGCACCATCCAGAAGGAGCTTCCTCCTAAAAAAAAAAAAAAAAACCTCTGCACATGCTCAGAAGCCCATGTTCTGTTTTTAAAAGAATTGCTCCTGGTGGAGGGGGAAAAAAATCAAGATATATTCAGGATGCTCCATTGCTGGAGGTTTTCAAGAAAAGTTCAGGCAAATATTTGTCCATCTCCTATCAGGCATGATATAAGATCTACTCAAGCAGGGGAGTTGGACTAGAAGATCTCTAATGTCCCTTCCAGCCCTATGTTTCTTTCTATTTTTATTTTTTCTTTCTATCTTTTCTTTTTTCTTTCTATTTTTCCCTTTTTCTTTTTTCTTTCCATTTTTCCTTTTTCTTTTTTCTTTCTATCTTTTCTTTTTTCTTTCTATTTTTTTCCCTTTTCTTTTTTCTTTCCATTTTTTCCTTTTTCTTTTTTTCTTTCTATCCTATCAGCGCTGCAAGTTGTTTTCCATTCACCCAGAGTCAATGCTGGCTGCGGAATCCTGGGACTTGAAGTCCATACATCTTAAAGTTACCGAGGTTGGAAAACATTGCCTTTAGCCTTGGGTTTCAACCAAGCCATTGTACCAAGCTACCTTCCCTTATTTTTATCAGCATGTGCTGCCAGTTCTTTTTGCTGTACCTAGAAGTAAACTCTCAGTGACCTTACAAAGGTCAAATTCTGGGTGGTGGTGGGGGAACAAGAGGAGCATTTTCTCCTGATAGGCCCCAAGGTCAGAAGAAGGAACTTGGATAAAGCCAAGCAAACACGCATGCAGTATTGTCTTCCAGGCCTGCCTTATTATTTATGAACAAAGTGACCACAAAAATCTTACCATCATTTTGCACTGGCAAATAAATCCTCCTGTTTCGCTATCTATTCTCAGTAGCTGTCAAGGACACTTATCAGGGATGGCTACCAGCGAGCAGACTTGGGGAGTAGAATTCTTTTATTGGCCAAGTGTGATTGGACACCCAAGGAATTTGTCTTTGGTGCAAATGCTCTCAGGGTACCTAAAAGAAAAGATACATTCGTCAAGAGTCAAGAATCATCAGGTACAATACTCAATAATAGTCATAGGGTACAATAAGCAATCCAACCATACTAGGAAACAGTCTATATAAATCATAAGGATACAAGCGATAAAGTTATAGTCACACAGTCACAAGTAGGAGGGGATGGGCGATAAGGAGTGATGAGAAGATTAATAGTAATAGTAATGCAGACTTTGTAAATAGTTGGACAGTGTTGAGGGAATTATTTGTTTAGCAGGGTGATGGCGTTCGGGGAAAAACTGTCCTTGTGTCTAGTTGTTCTGGTATACAGTGCTCTATAGCGTCATTTTGAGAGTAGGAGTTGAAACAGTTTATGTCTGGGATGTGAGGGGTCTGTAACTAGAGGAGAGATGCTTTCACCGTCTTTGCAGATGCCAGGTAGATGACCTTTGAGGTCGTTTCCATTACCCTGCGCAAGAGTGCTCTCTTCATGTCCCATTAGGTGCAAATGCACATGTGAACACAAACAGACTGTGGGTCTAAGTTAAAGTCTTGTCACCTTGGCTGATAATGGTTCTCCAGGATAAAAAGCCATTTCTGAGTACTGTATATAGGTAGTTCTCAACATACAACCGTTCTATCAAAAACTGTTCATACTTACGATGGGTCTGAAAAAAATGACAGTGCACTTTTGTCCGCTGCAGCGTCAATCAAAATTCAGGTGCTTGGCAACAGGCAGGTATTTCTGATGGCTGCAGTGTGCCCTGGTCACACAATCCCAATTTAGGACTTTCCCACCCAGCTTCCAACAAGCACAAAGTCAACTGGGAAAGCCAAGACTCCCTTACTAACCACGTAATTTACTAAACAACTGCAGCAATTCATTTAAAGGCGGCCATAAAGGTCATAAAACCAGGTACGGCTCACTTATCAACCCTCTTGCTTTAGCAGTGAAAAATCTAGCCCTGATTGTTGGATGTTGTATACGGCCTGCATCGGTTGTGATGCTCGTTTTTGTTTTGTTTTTTAACTGGAGCTTATTAGATCCAAGACTGCTCTCTCTGCAAAGCCTCCATGCCTGAAAACATGGCAAACAAACCTGGGTTTGGCCTTTGACTAGAAGTTCTTACCCCAAACCACACTTTTTGCTGCCTCCCAGCCCTTTCTGCCCGAAAAACCAGCAACAGGATCCGGGCCCATCCTGTGAATTGTGAGTCAGCCCCTTTTCCCATGCCTCGTTGGCTTCCTTGGAGGGGGTAGAAACCAAGTCTGATTCACACTGTCGGGTGTGTTTATTTGGCAGAAGAGAGGCATGTGGTTTTCACTTTGGGTGGGGTTAAGGAAAGTTACCTGTGTTCGGATCACAAAACACTCACCATCCAGCTGGGGTGGGGTGTGGGGGGGAAGATGGCTTCGACCTAACATTGATGGGATTTAAAGAGGAAATTCTGATTTACAGAAAGGAACTATGTGCAGAATGGAACATAGAAATTATTCTGGATTAAAACGGTCTGGATAAAACAGCTTACATCTCAACAATATAATTAGTTGGAGATATGAAAATGTTTCGTCTTCATGAGTCAAAGGAGGCTGTATGTTTACTCCGAAAGGGAAGCAGCACTAATATACTGTACTTTTATAACCTATCAAATGAGGTGTGGCCACTGTAGTCCTGCTTAATGAATAGCCACCTGAGTTACCCCACTTTTTATAAGAGCCGGTATGTTCTCCAGGGCAACGAATGAAAGACCTTGAAGATCTTTCGTTATATGAAAAGTTAAAAAAAAAAAAAAAGGCCCAACTTTTAGCATTAACAGAATGTCTCACCTGGGTTGGGAAATCTTCTAAAGTATTTTTTATTTATGAAATTTCTAGGCCAACCTTTTCATGTAAGGGACTCTAGGTGGTTTGCAACAGCTTTATAAAAATCATTTTTATTCTATATATATAAAAGCGAAATACACTCAGGCATCATCACAAAATCTCCAGAACTGTAAAGCCTACAAACTTGAAATTTGACACCTATGTTCCTCTTGGCTTAGGGGCTCACTAAGAAAGGATTTTTCCAAATGACCATCAGAGCATTAGTATTTTGTATATTACTGTTATTAACATGCTCTGATGCTAAGGAGTTCTACTCCCCCTCCCCACCTGAAAAGAAATCTCTTCCAAATGCAAAACACAAGCAGAGGAGTTTCAGTTTCACAGCACCAAGCAGCTTTAGTACAGAACAGTTGAGCTAAGCCACACCCAGGCTCCTTGCTGTCTCCTTCTTGCTCACACAGCAAATACTGCTTCAGTTTCCAAACAGTCCTCAACTCTAGCCAGATAAATACTGATGGATGCCGGTAGGCAGAGGCAGGATTTTTTCCCCTTATTTTCCTCCCCCAAAACTAAGCCTGACCACATAGTTTCGTAGCGAAGCAGGGGTAACGAACTAGTAAATACATTAAAGCACAGCTTAAAAACAAGTTGAAACTGA